CAATTTTTCTCTTAACGTTATTTTTTAGTCACTTTACCCTCAAGACTAACGGTCAAACTTAACGAAATTTGTTAATTAAAGTGAAAAGACATGTTTAACCCTTAAAATTATTATCACTTTACCTCCATAAACTATAGTCTCATTATTAATTTACTCTCTAGAGTTATTTTTTAGACAATTTATCCTATCATTAAACTAATTTAGCAAGTTAAAAAACTTCAGAAGAAAATACCCTCCTCTTTGCATAATAAAAATAATAAAAAATTTAGAGTGGTTCTTCTCCTTTTTAGTATCAACAAAAAAGTCAAAGTATTAATTTCTTTCTTCTTGGCAATCTTATTAATATCAACAAAAAATAGAAAGATGGAGAGGGGGAGGAGGAGAGGAAGAGAGGTCAATTCTTTTTTTAAAAATTACAAATAAGAAAGAATTAAATACTTTTTATTTTTATTTACTACCAAATTCTAATCCTAATCCCGACAACCTTAATGTAATACGATAATGTTAGACTTTTCTTTATTTTCTTTCTTTGCAAAATCTAATTTTCTTTTTTCTTCTTTTCTATCTCTTTTTCTTTTTCTAGTATTAATAAGTGTGAAAAAAGATATTTGAGAAAACCCTTTTATTTTTATGTTTTGCGATCCCTTAAAGTGAAAAAAGGAAGAATAACCATTCCAACTTTTTTATTTTTAATTATATATAAAAAAGGGTAAATATATTTAAAATTTTTTGATCATACTAGTTAGATTAATGATGAGGTAAAATGCCTAGAAAATAATATTAGAAATTAAAGTGATTGTATCACTATAATTTGAACGAATAAAGTGATAATAATAATGTAGTAATGCTATAAAATAAAAGAATATTTTTGTCCAAAATTTCTTAACATGTTGAGTTGAATTACTTATTGGGGTAAAGTGACTAAAGATAACGTTAGGGAGTAAATTGATAGTAATAATATAGTTTAAGGGGGTAAAGTGATAATAATCCTTTTTCGCAGCAAAACTTTTAAAGTAATGCATGCTTGGCTAGTCAGGTGCACAGACTCTGTGGACCATGTCACTTAGAAGACGTAATTGCCAATTTCACTTTTATTGCAATTTCGCATGCTGTATGCCCACTCAAGTGTAGACACGTACGTGTACTTTGATAGTTTGGGCGAAGATTTGAGATACTCATCCTCGAGAATCAGTACTGATTCATCTTCACTAAGTTGAGGACTGATTGTGAAGGACAAAAATAATGCCTTGACTAGGGCCCTGCTTGGACATGCTTTGGAATCATATATGAGCAATCCCCTTTTACTTGACAAGGAAGATCTTCTGAAATATTTGATACGACTGATGAGAAGTGAGTCATGTGATCTGTTAGCGTCATGCTAGAAGTGTCAGAGTGGACAACCCACCTTTCTTTTCCTATAAATACCCCATTTCTTCACAGTAAAGAGGTAATCAATACTCATCATACTCAACTCCCAAACTATTTGCGTCTCGTCTAACTTAAGCATTGGAGTCAAAATGGGAGGCAGCCCTGGTTTCTTTCTCTTCCTTGTGCTCGCAGGCTAACGGCTCGAGAAGTACAAAAATCTACTCGAATAAACTTGAAGTTGTTCAATGCTCCCGAGTAGCAGAATTTTACAGTTGTTTAATATGACAAGTACTCTTCCAGAAAAATGATGTTTAGAAACTAACAAACCTTAAGAATTTGCTAAAAGATAAGTAGCAACTCGGTAGAAAATATGCTAGAAGTTAAGAAGCAACTTCCATTTTCTTTCTTTAAGAAAATTTGCTACAGGTCCTATGCTCTTTTGGATTAATCACATCAAAAGATGACGTCTTTTTATTCTTGGAATTTCTTTGATTGCAAACTCTATCCCAAATCTTTTCTCCAACTTCACTCATCACCATTTTTCATTTCACTACAGCAATCTTCATTATCGCCAATTCACCAAGGGAGCAGAAAAGGTAGAGAAACTTCATCAAATTCTGGATTGACTTGTGGTCTGAAATCATTTTGAAGCAAACTTGTTTTCTCTGCTACGGTAAGTTTCAGTTTTCTTCAACTTCATTGCATTTTCAATTTTTAAAAATTGCTTTGCATTCTGTTAAAATTTATGTCATGTAGTCATATTCATGGTGACATTATTATTATTGTTGTTGTTGTTGTTGTTGTTGTTTATGGGTTTTACAATCAATTTCCAGTTTCCCTTCAATTTTCAACTGAAGATTTGAGGTTGAGAATGAGGTGATCAAAACAATTTTAGTTGGATGATCGGCATCAAAATTAAAATATTGCGCTGACTCATTTTACATGATTGTCTTTGAAGTTGTTAATTTCGTGGGGAAAAAAAGAAATAAACAGATTTTCCTTTACATCTACATTTTTTTTTATAGTGTAAATGAGAGGGTTGAATCAGAACTTTTCATTTGCACTCTCTCCCCACGAACCATTCAATCCATTCCTTCTGCCCTTTACATTTACTTATCCAAATACATCTGCTTATTTGTTAATTTTCACTTCCTTTTCAAAATTTACAAAACTAAATAGAAAAACTACTTTCCTGCACATCATTTTCCTTTACTTACTACTTTTTTTTTTATAACCAAACAAGTTTGCTTCTATTTCCTTTTGCTTACTAATTCCCTCCTTCCCGGTGGGGTTCAATTGAGACGTTTAACATGCTATGGTTATGTTACTACTTATTAGTGTAAAATCTTGGATCAACTAAGTTGAAATTGATGGAAGCCAAGTTTGATTCTTAAGCTTTTGATTCCATGTCCATAAAGTTTCTAGGAAGAGGATTATTTTGAATTTATGAGGAGATTGATTTGAGGTCTAAAATTAAAAAAGATTTCCATTTCCAAATCACTAGTCAGTTATAAACTTCAAATATGCGATTATTGGGTATCCTCTATTTCCAATGGTATCTTAAAAATATACTCTTCATGGTAGTCTCTTTAATATTTTGGAGGAAACTTAGAAAAATATTTATTTTATAATTTATCTTACAAGGCTAGGATTCTCTCAAAAGTCAAAATGGTGATCCAAGCTAACCAAAGTTTAATGTTTTGAACAACAGGAAGTGAAAGAAATAGAAATTAAGATATTACTTTATTTTTTCTTCATGCATTTTTTCCAATATACTAATGGAATTGGGCAGAGTTTTCCAAACGAATACATGGTTGAGATCTTCCTGTTTTAATTTTGTATGGTCAAAAGTTAAAAAAAAAAAACGAATATAATAGGATTTCAATTGTATTTGTTTAATATAATAGAGGATCAATACAATTAACTTTCTGCACTTGTTGTATTCGTTGTATTAGTTTCTATGTTTTCTCATATATTTATGGGATTAATCGTTGAGGTATGGATCATTGAGTCCTTCTGCGATTGAACCATAAAGCCTATTTCTTATTATTGCTTTATACAATAAAATAGAACTACTTAACAAAAATATTGGTAATAGTAACACTAACAATGACAGTGCTAATACTGCTGCTGCTAGCCTGCTACTAATAATAATAGCTCTTGTTTAGCAGATTATTCAAGGGAAAAAAAAGTTAGGATTTCCCGTAGTTGTGCAATCTTGTTAATCTTCAAATATCGAAACCAGGGGGACCGGATAGGGGGCCAATGCCCCCGAAATTGTTATTGGATATATACATGATTGCACAAAGTTAAACTAATAATAATAATAATTGCGATGAAGAAGGAAAAATTACCATTCACAATGTAGTTCTTACATGTTTCACCAATACCCTTCCATCTTCTATTGTGAAAGAAAAATTTTGTGAAGGGGAAAAAAAAAGCTTCCCTGATTTTTCTGTTTTCCTTTTTTTTCCTTCAAAGTTTATTTCCACTCAAATAGAGACTCAAGATGCTATCCTATGCATATGTATTAGCAATTAGCCAAAAGAAAAATGTCAATAGTCATATCCTGCATGTGGGAAAACTTTTGCCAACTTAATATCCCAGGTTAGATGTGGGTTTTCTGTTACACTCAAAAGTGTAATACCTCTTGACATACCCTAATATGTTAGTAGTTGGACTCTTAATTAAGAGTTACATTTTATTAATCCATGATCAAAAAAAAAAAAAAAGAAAAAGATGGGTTTTTTTTCCTCCATGCACACCTTCTCATTCTCCCTCATCAAGTTGTCCAATCTTTTCCCATCAAAAGCCTCATAGCAACAATTCTCAAAGAATTTCTTGTGTGATTTTTTTTTTTGCTTTTTCTTTGTTGCATGATATTTTCATCAAATACTAAGGTCTGATTTGGGGATTTGAGAGGGAAGAATGAGGCGAAGCTTTACTATGGAGAGAGAAGAATGATGTTTATACTTATTCCTCTCGGGATTTTATATTCATCAAATACTAGAGTTAAATTTAGGGATAGGAGAGGGGGAAACGGAGGAGAATGTTTGGTTTGCACATAAGAAGGGAGTCACATCTTTACCATGGAAATAATGAAGCTTTAATGAGAAGGATTGAAGTCACTATATTAAGGCGTAACGGATTTTCTGCCCCACTTCCTGCGCCATTCTTTGTTCCACTTTTTATTATATTGCTATTTCTCCTTCATAAATATCATATGTTGGTTCTTTTTTTGTTATCTTAAGATCCAAAAACTATTAACTGAATAAAAAATAAACACAATAGTTTCAAAAAAGTAATATATAATAGAAAATTAAAAAATACAGCAAAAAATTCATAAAAATCTCATTTTATGCATTTTGACTTTTCAAGTTTGTTAAATTTTGTGTATTACATAGTTAATAGTTCTTGGATTTGAAGAGAACTAAAATATGATGTCTATGAAAAGGAAATAGTAGGACAGAGAATGGCACAGGAAGTGGGCAGAAAATTCATTGCGTTCTTTCTTTGAGCTTGGCTTTCCCAACTATACCAACTATTGTCAATTATTGCAGGGCTCTCTCTCTCTCTTTCTATTGGTGGCTTCCTTGTGCAAGTTTTTTTCAACTTTACCTCCGCCTGGAGATATGGCTGCTGCCTTAGTGGGAGGTTCACTCCTCTCCGCTTTCCTTCAAGTGCTATTTGATAGGATGGCCAGACCAGAATTCCTGAATTTGTTTCATAATCGCGAGGCTGATGATGATCTCCTCAAGAAGCTCAAGACAAACTTACTCACTGTTGGAGCAGTTCTTGATGATGCAGAGAACAAGGAAATACGGAACCAATCTGTCAAAAAATGGCTTGAAGAGCTTCATGATACATTTTATCAAGCAGAGGATTTACTGGACAAAATCAACACTGAAGCTCTGCGAATTAAGGTGGAAAATGAGTACCAAAGCTCAACTAACACTTGGACAAGTGCCTTAAAAAGATTATGCCTTGAAAGGATTCTGCCTTGTACATCTTCTAGTAAATTCCTTAAGAGGATTATGCCTGAGATTGAAACGATAGTAGCAAGCCTGGAGGGATGCATACAACAAATTACTCCCTTAGGTTTGCAAGTCGTTCAATCAAGAATACAATCACGTCAACAATTTGAAACCCCTCTGGTTGATGAGACTACTATTTTTGGGAGAGATGCCGACAAAGAGAAGATAATTGAAATGCTGCTATCTGAGGATGCAAATGGAGACAATATCACTGTGGTTCCAATAGTTGGACTGGGTGGGCTTGGTAAGACCACCTTGGCTAGAATGGTTTACAAAGATTTCAGGGTGGAAGTGGGTTTTCCTACCTGGGCATGGGTCTGCGTATCAGAAGAATATGATGCTACCAAGATAACAAAAGAACTGCTAAGGGAACTCAATATTTCTTTTGTTGAAGATGAGAACTTGTTCTCCCTTCAAGTGAAGCTACAAGTTGGCCTAACTAAGAAAAAATTCCTTCTTGTTCTGGATGATGTTTGGAATAGTAACTACAATCACTGGGATAATTTAAGGATCCCTTTCAAAGGTGGACTACAGGGAAGTAAGATCATTGTTACAACACGAAATTTGAGTGTTGCAAGGATGATGTGTAAAGAAGAGTCAATTCATCATTTGGATTTCATATCAGACGAAGATTGCTGGTTTCTATTTAAGAAGCACACATTTGAAAATAGAAATGACAATCAAAATTTAGAACTTGAAAAAATAGGAAAGAAAATTGTGAAGAAGTGTGGAGGGTTGCCTTTGGCTGTGAAAACTGTTGCAGGTATATTGCGTTCTAGAACAACCCTTGAAGAGTGGGAAGAGATTTTAATAAGTGAAGAGTGGACTCAACTGGATAATCAAAATGGCCCCATACCAGCTTTGAGATTAAGCTACATTCATCTTCCGTCTCATCTTAAAAGGTGCTTTGCTTACTGTGCTATTTTCCACAAAGATTACCAGTTTAGAAAAGAGGAAATAATTCAGCTATGGCAAGCAAATGGTCTTTTAGAGTACCCTGGAGAAAATAAAAGAATTGAAAACATGGGTGAGAAGTGCATTCATGAACTGAGAATGAGATCATTATTTCATCAGTTAAGTGAAAGTTCTTTCTCTATGCATGACCTCGTCAACGATTTGGCTAGGTTTGTTTTTGGGAAATATTGCCTTAGGTTGGAAAATCATTAGGAAGGTGATACTACAATATCTGGTGTAAGACATTTTTCATTCCATCCTAGTTACTTTGACACATTTCATAAATTTAATCTCTTGAGGGAGACTAAGAATATAAGAACATTCTTACCATTGAGAATGGATCAAGATTTGCATCCTATGGATCATCTAAGCAAGAAATTCTTAGAGGATACCTTGCCCCAATTCATGTCTTTAAGGGTTCTATCTTTGTCCCATTATGAGAATATTGTGAAGTTACCAAACTCATGTAGTGGTTTGAAACAACTTCGAATTCTGGATCTCTCTTCCACAAAAATAAAGGAGCTACCAAAGTGGGTATGTACCTTGTATAATCTACAAAGCTTGTTGTTGTCAAAGTGCAAAGAACTTGAAGAGTTGCCGGCAAATCTGAGGAAGTTAATTAACTTGTGGTGCCTGGATATTAGTGAAACTCCACTGAAAAAAATGCCACCACAAATTGGTAGATTGATAAACCTTCAAGTCTTGACTGCTTTTGTCATAGGCAAGGACAGTGGTTCAATGATTAAGGAGTTAGGCAAGCTTCCTATGCTACGTGATAAGCTATTCCTTTCTGGTTTGGAAAATGTTTCTAGCGGTAGGGATGCATCCCTGGCGAACATGGAAGGCAAGAAAAACTTTGAAAAGCTAACTCTAAAGTGGAATGGTGATGCTAACAATTCACAAGTTGCAAGGGATGTGCTGGATAAACTGCTACCTCATTCGAGCATTAAGCAACTTAAGATTGACGGATATTGTGGGACAACATTTCCAAATTGGCTAGGCAACTCTTCATTAAGCTATTTGGAATCCTTGAATCTATCTAGTTGTGAATATTGCTTTTCCTTGCCTGCACTTGGACAGCTAAGGTCCTTGCAGTCACTTGAAATTGTTGGAATGAGTCACATATCAGTCTTGACGGAGGATTTTTATGGAGATACGAGCGCAATCAAACCACCATTCCCATCTCTAAAAAAGTTGAGAATTGAGAAGCTGCCAAAGTGGGAAAGATGGTACATACCAGAATGCAAAGTCTTCAATAGACTTGAAGAGCTCTACATAATTGATTGTCCCAAACTCATTGGAGAATTTCCCCAACAACTTTCATCACTACAAAGACTTGACATATCTGGATGTAGTGAACTTGTGCGTCCCAATGGTAGATTGAGTATCTTCAATGGAGAGATTCAACAACTCTTATCTCTTTGTGAAGTGAGGATTTCAGCTCTTAAAACTTTGAAAGATTTGCCCTTACAACTCAACCAATTATCCAGGCTTGAGAGACTGATAATTGATGATTGTGGCTCTCTCTCGCCCTTGCACATAAGTCTGCTACCTCCCTCACTTAAATCACTTGAGTACAAGAGATGTTGCAATTTGGAATTAGAAAATTCAAGCTGGGATGATGGTGGGAGCTTGAAGCATTTGAAATTCGATACTTGTGAATCTCTCAAAGTCAAAGTCGAGTGGCTCGCCTCATTTCCCATGCTAAAACAGCTTAGAATTGTAAACTGCAAGAGTATTGAGATACTCTCAATTCCTCCTGCACCTGGGATTGGGAATCAGAGTAGTACAACTACTACTAGTAGTGCGATGACGTCACTGCAATCCTTATGGATCTCCGGCTGCGATGATCTAATGTCTTTTCCAGAGGGAGGATTGGCAGCCCCTAATCTAGCTCGGATTATTATCCAGGACTGCAAGAAACTTGAGTCGCTGCCAAAACGGATGGAATCTCTCTTCCCTTCTCTTCGATTACTCTATCTATACAATTGTCCAGAAATTGAGTGCTTCCCGGATAGGGGTTTGCCCTCTAGCCTACATTGTCTTCATATCTGGAATTGCGAAAAGCTCATAAGTAGACGAAGAGAGTGGGGTTTAGAGAAACTCCCCGGTCTCAAAGAATTGATCATTGATGGTATCAAGGATGAAGTAGAGTCGTTTCCAGAGGAGGACTGGCTGCTGCCTTGCACGCTTAAATCACTCGAATTGTGGTCCTTTCAGAATCTGAAAGTGCTGAACTATTCAGGTCTTCGACATCTCACCTCCATTCAAATGCTACGTATCGACTCCTGCCCTCGACTCCAGTCCCTACCAGAAGAGGGACTGCCTGCCTCTCTCACCACACTAATAATCTACAAATGCCCATTGCTGAAACCAAGGTTGAAATGGGAGAAAGGACAAGACTGGCCTAATGTTGCCCACATCCCCTGCTTAGTACTCGATTCGAAGCTAGTTCCTTGATGATGATGCCGGTTTCTAGTGAGGCCTTGCCTTCCAGAGTAGCAATACCCTTATCATCATCTATTTATATAATTAAAGGTACATCCTTTTTTCAATTTTTTTCTTTTCTTCATATTTTTTATTCTTTCGGAATACTCTGAAGCCTCAAAAGGCAAATTCATAACTAGTTAATGCATTTTTTGTTGTGATTGCAATGGGAATTGCCCATCATGAATAATTAGGATGTGCTTAAGGGGCAGTTATTGATGCAACAATCTCGTAATATATTAATTTCTAACTACAGATTTCACCATTTATATTTCTTTTTCAACTTTTTAATTTTTTTAATAAGAGTCCATGCTTTTGGTTCGCTTACGCACTGTAGATTCCAATCAAGTAAGGCCACCAACTCAGGCAGACAAAATGCTTTCCTCATTAATTGCTGATGGAGAAAGAAAACCGTCAATGTTCTGTAAGGTATCTGCAATAGTCAGACTATTCTTGAACTTGCTAAGTGCGTTATGTGCTTTATTTGATGCATTCAATAATTTTTGTTTGAAGCTATAAGTTCATTTTGCTTGACTTGTTAATGTGCTTGTTTTACAATCCTTTAGTTCTACTTTAAACTATAATAGAACACAATTTGCTTCTTGTAAGAAGTAGTTATAAAGCGCTCTAATCTTGTCAAAATTTGATGTATCTGCCAGGACATGGATTGCCCTCTGCCTGTCTAGGTGATGTATCTTAGTACTCTAAGGACATCATTGCTCTCATCTTCAACCATTGAACAATTGGGGCTAGTGACCTCCCTTTTTATGTTAGAAACTAAGAACTACTAATTGCTGACACAACGTTTGGAGTAGAGAAAAGAAAAAGCTTGGCACAAGGTAGCTCATATTTCAAGAATGTTAACAATGAACTGTGATCAGTTATGCACTTAGTTTAAATTATTTTTTTCTTCTTTTTTCTGTAGTAGTTCGTTGGCAATTCAATATGCTTCCTTGATATCAAGATCTATGCTTTCTCTATGCTACTGTCATCGGAATTTTAAAAAATGTTTGAACACTACTAAGTACGATGTAAGGCAAATATATCGCAAGTTTTAGTCAACTCTAATTATGGAAACCTTTACGCACCCAGTCTATATGAGTATTTGTTCCTGATGAGATCATGGTAGTTTTTCTTTTCTTATTTTAGTTAATTCCTGAATTTTCTTAATCTCTTTCTGCATCATTATGCTACTGCAGGACATCTTTCCTAAGGTTTCTTGAAGTTAAATGCTTCCGTCCTATTACGCATTTTTTAAACTATTGTAGCACTTTCTTTTGCATCTTCATTTATAATTTGAGGCTTATGATTAATTGAACAATTTTTGTTGCTAAAATGCAGATGGCCCCCACATATCTTTTCGCTTCCTCGGTTTTCCATGCAGCAAATAGACCACTCTAGAAACCATCAACCTGAACATCACAAGCTGAAATCTATCATGCATGTATGTTTTTCAGGGCTCGACATCATGTTCTCATTATTCCTCACATTAAGGCTTGGCTTTGGATCTACAATTGTCATGGTCCCTTCTAAATATAGTCTAGACTTGGGTGCTTTATGTTGGTTGGGGATGCTAATCACCAGTTTAGAATTGAGAGTAGTAGGAATAACAAAGGCACCATTGCTATCTAGGCATTTCTTTGTGTTCTGATTCTAAATAGATGAAGAGTTCAGTAAATTGATTTACAGATTGCAAGATGGGATAACATGAAAGAAAAATGAAAAAAGGATCAAAATAGCAAGAATACATATTTGTGTTTCTTGATTTCATGATTCATCCATGTCCACTCCTTGCATTTGTTTGACTACTGTGTAAGTTTTGAGTGCTAGTCCATGTTATGTGCTCCTAAAATTTGGAGAAATTTCCATAGAATTCAACTGGAAAAAAAGGGAGGAGGTTGTTGGAGAGTCTGGAAGCATTTGCCGCACCCCATTTTTTAAAAATAAAATATCGATATGCTAAAGTTGTTCAAGTGCTTTCTTACTGTCTCTAGTATAGCTTGTTTAGTAATTTGTATGCTGCCTGATCCATCTTTAGCGCTTTGATCCACCTTACTAATGCTTTCATATATGTTGTATCCAACAAGATATTCTAGGTATGTTGTACTTTGTGTTTGATGTGAATATTTGCATACAACCCTACAGAGCTTGATAAATTGGAAAGATTTTCTGCATTCAAGCGCTCTTCTTCAATAAAGGATTAGTACTCAAAAGAAGAATTTTTATGACTCAAGTCACAATAATCCCCTCCCACTATATTTTTGCATGAAAAATGTGCAATTCATAACTGAAATCACTAGATAATGGGATAAAGGCAGGGGAAAGAATGCCCAAGGTTGCTGATGTAAACTGCATACCTTTGAATGGTGAACTAATTTGATGACAGAATCTTACTTTGACAGTTGCTCAAGTCCTGACCTCAGGGACGCAAAGGTATCTTTCTTAGTAAGATTCATTTTCTTGGAGTGCTCCAATGCCTCGAATCATTGAACCATCATTTTTTCGTGCATGTGATCCCAGCTTCTAGCTGGAAATCATCTCAACTTACTCTTTAGTTCTTGTTTCTCTTTCGAGATTCTTCTTGTATATGTTTAGGGCCAACTTTACAAAATATCTGATTTGCCTACTCCATCGATTGTATTGAAAGAGTGGGAGCCCCATCATACTCATACTTCTTGCCTTGCATTTGCAAATTCATGAAAATTTTAGTTTTTTACAGTGTATTCTTCTTCTTGCCTTCCTTTATGTAAGCAATTGATAATAGAATTGTATACTTTGCTTTGATTTCTTATTTTATTTCAATTTTAGTTTTGAATACTTCCAGCATATCATTGTTTCACGCATCATGGAAGTGAATTTGGGATATCTCAACGTGATTGTATCTGCATTTGTGAGACAAAAACTTCAAATTGTCTCCTTTACATCCACTAAAAGAAAGGAAATTTGTGTTAGAGAATTAATGAGAAGCGGACAGTGGAAATTCAAAAAGAAAATTAAGATTGAAATCTTTGCTTAAATTGAAAAAGTGGCTTGATTCTCATGCTTTGAATTGAATGATTGCCTTTTCTGCAACTAATGTGATGGCATAAACTTATGTTTTGAACAGTTTCTGATTTTGGGAAGCATGTGGAGTTGGAATATTTCCTGGGGAATCAGTAAAAATTGACTAGGAACAACTTTTATTTTAAATAAATTTGAATGGTTAAGATTGCAAGCAGACATTTAATATATCTATCAGTAACTTTCTCCGTAACCGTAGTCGATGGGGAGCAAAAGAAAAGATCATTGCACATAAATAAACTACAGCCTTCAAAATTGAGCTTTTAAGGACTGACATAGTGATATATATTTTTTTAATTTAATTCTTTCCTCTCTTGCTTACTTGGATTCTTTAAACCTGCAAAAGATATGTTCACATTGGAAACTAATTTGCTCTTCATACTCAGCCAATTGGTTGGCTATTCGTTTCTCTGCTCATGCTTTTTGGATATGGTGATCAACTAACTTGTGCTTGCATACATTTTTCTTTGCATACCTTGCCACATGTATCCTGCTCTTCTACTTTAGTTTTTGTAATTCTCGACTGAACATTAATGCTGTCTGCTTCTGAAATAGTAAGATAAATTGTATCTTCTTCCGGCAGCTTCATTCTCAAAAGATTCAAGTTTTGACGTACATTTCGAGCCTAGCTTTATTGCATTTCTTTAACTTGGGGTGTCATCATAATCATGTGATGCGCATACTTGTCGGATCATTGTTTTCATTCTGAAGCATGACGTTTCAGAACTGTTGAGCTTTCTTGTACCTCAATGTCTCTTTTATGATAAAAGGCTGTGCTATAGTTGGAATGCTTCATAAATTTCTTTGAGACGCATGAATGTCTTTCCTGATGAAGTTCTGCCTCTTACACCTTTTTAAGGTTTCAGCTTGAAATTTGTTGCCTTGGAAACGAAGCTTGTGTTTTGTATGATCAGCCTGAGCAAGTTCAACACCATTCTGGCTAATCTTCATGATCAGCCTAAAAGTTCACCACTAGATTTAAGCTTTGGGAAGTCAAAGTTGCATCCTTTATTTTTTAGCATTGCGGTACTCCTAGATATACATAAATTTCTTATAGAATATACCTTGGCATGTTTGCGACTTAATTGCTTTGGCACCATTTGAAGACATTTCATTGAATCTCAAAGGGACCAGGGGAACACAGCTCCAATTGTTGCCAGAAGAGCCGCTGCCTACTTTCCTCTTTGTAGCTGAAAACTGAAGATCTACTGCACTTGAAGACTCAAGTACATGTTATAATCCTGCAAAAGAATCTCGGTAATGACCTGATCATATGCTAACTGCATTCTGCACATGACCATAATTTTCCTCATCATTCTTGTTATGTATTTGACAGGTTTGGAGCCTTGAATTATACCAAGGAAACTTAGAAGGACATTGTTGACTTGAATATTGCCCACATTTTGATCCTTGCAATGCTGTCTCTGTCTCGAAAGAGTCTTCCCGTTGCCTAGGCCAATCAGCAGTTTAATTAGTGCTTTCATAAGGGAGTATAACATTTACTATAGGGAATTTTGTATCTTTTTCCCCTTTCGAGTACAAAATTATCCACAGGTTCATACTTCTCTCCAGTACATAATGCTAACCTGATCTATGACTATATTCATGGAATATTCAGTACTTCAGATGTGTATTACCCCAGCCATCATCATATTGCAATATCTTTCATAATCAAAACCATAAATCTTCAGATGTGATAGCTACCATACATTGGCAACCAGCAATGAAATCGGGTCAGATACGATTGAGTTAGGTACGGTTAGGTACAATTATTGTATTTCGTCCACAACGAGATGTAGACTAAAAGATGCTATTGTATTCATGCATTGAGTTGATGTACATGAATAAAATTTGTGAGTACAAGAAAGTTACGTGAAGATACACACTATTTCTAGCAAAATTCCAACTGCACC